GGTTGATTCATAATTAATGCACGTTTTCTATACTTCAACTTTCAACCGAGATAATTCTTTTTTGAAAAGACATTTTTGGGCGCAATAACAACGTAACCACCAAGTCAGTGGCTATAAAATATATACTTTTGCGTGACTGTATTTATTACAAGAAAGATTTTCTGGCCTGAAGATTGCCAACAACTTTTTTCAGAAGCCTCTACTTTGAGAGAGCATAATTTATGTTGAAATAAAATAGAAAAAAGCAGACTTCGCTCATCGTGTAGCCAAGGGTCTCTTGAGCAGTAATGCCAAGTTTGGATTTTGCGGAAAATTTTTGAAAGAAAATATCTCGAAAAAGTCGAAAATACTCACTTTTTTGTGGCATCTCGGCGGGTTCAAAAATCGGTTATTTTTGAAATTATTTCATTTTTCTCCGCTAGAAAGCGAGAAAACCCTAGCGTTTTTCTACCATCAAATGAACTAGGTCTGCCCTTGCTGGATAGTGCAAAAGACCTGCAATCGCCTTTTTGCTTCAGAGTTTTATATGGCACGGAAGGACCGCGACGATCATTCAAGTTGGCAATTGAATTTCTCGGCTCAGAATTCATGAAAAATTTTGTTCAAACAGCATCTTGTAGCACAAAGTTTCCTAATCCTTATGCATATTTTTTGAAATTAATACGGCTATTCCTCAAGGATTTAGGGCAAAAAGAGTGGAAAGCAAAAATTTTGGGATTTAGTCTCTTTTATTTGAAGGCTCAGAACTTCGGAATGAACGGAGACTTACGAAAGCGAAGGCCCGCAGAAGAAACTAGAAAAAACGCCTTTTTAGACAGCTTAAAAAGTTTTTGAGAAAATTGATTACACATCAATACCAGCTCTTAGAAGAAGAGGTAGGAAAAACGTGCATTAATTATGAAACAACCTAATAATACGGGAGCTCGTTAGAATGGCGTAGCATCTTACTTGGATGTGGAAGTCCAGATGAATGCTATTCACGTTTTACTGATGTTTGCCGGCATCTAATTGATAGGTTTAAGCCATTACGGAAAAAAATGTGGTTCCACCGAAATTGTGCCTAGAAACTTACACAAGTCGTGTGCAAAAGTAACACATTTTTATCGACGTCGTTTCTTATTAGGCTCACGAAGATATACTTCTCTAGCCAGAAAACTGAAGCGAGAAATATCGCGATGGAGAATTGCTTACGAGAGCAAGGTTGTTTGCTCAAAAAATAGTAAAAAATTCTATAAATACTGTAAAAGAAAACTCAAGCAAACCGATTGCATACCTAATTTGAAGGAAAACGAGCATATTTACTGAGGTGATAAGCAAAAAGCCAACTTATTGGCTGATTATTTCGAGAGTGTTTATCGTTGTCATACACCTAAATGCCTTTTTGGATTGTAGAACAGATGGCAGACTTGATTGGGTTGAAATTACGACAGACTCTGTCTACCGAATGCTTCATCGACTTCCAAAAAGAAGTTCAACGTCCCCAGATGGCATACAATACATATTTTCAAAAAACGCCGCTCTAGACTTGCTTCTCCTCTTACAATAATGTTCAATAGGTTTCTTTTGAGAGGGGAAGTTCCTGAAATTTGGAAACTTGGTCTAGTTAAATCAATATACAAAAAAGGACTTAGGTCAACTGTTAACAATTACCGTCCTATTTGCCTTACACAAGTTCTACATGTAAGGTGATGGAAAGATTGGTTCAGGGGATTCTTGGATACCTTTCTCATAACAATCTTCTGTCGGCGGCGCAAAATGGCTTTCTTAGCAAAAGATCAACCGTATCTGCCTTAATGTCTACGGTCCCCTTATGGCATAGAGAAGTGGACAGAAAAGGACATGTTTCGGTCTGCTTTGTTGACTAAAGTAAAGCATTTGACTCACTTGACATATCCCTGCTGCTTCTCGAGCTTCAAGCATATTGTATTCAGGGATCACTCTACAATTTTTTGTCTTCTTTCCTAAATGGTAGGCGGCAGTCGGTAGTCACTAACAATGTTCGTTCACGTGTATACCCAACATAGCGGTGTACCTCAAGGATCTGTTCTCGGCCCTCTCTTATTCCTCATTTACATTAATGACCTCCCGGATGTACTTCCTGCAGGTACATTTTGTTCGATATATGCCGATAATTCTAAGATATATATCACTGGTAATACCCTCCTCCCCCCTGCTACAAAACGCCAAAGATTCTCTTGCCCTTTGGTCAACAGTCTGGGGCTGAGTATTTCCAAAAAAAGACTTCCATCATGGACTTCGGAAAAACCCACCCCGAATGCGATTTCATGCTTGAAGGCTCGGCTTTGCACCGCGTTCATGTAATTTGAGACTTAGGCCTTAGATATTCAAGCACATTCGATTTCCGTGATTACATGCATAAGATTACAACAAAGGCAACATGTCAGTCCAATCAACTCCTGAAAGCTTTCAAAAGCCGAGAACCTTTGCTCTTATTTAGATTATTTTCCACTTACGTTAGACCACTTCTTGAATATTGTACACCACTTTGGTCCCTCCAAAGTAAGACTTTGATAGAAGAAATAGAAAAAGTACAGAAATCTTTCACTTACAAAATTTTTGCTCGGAGAGGTACTTTTGGGTTATCATACCTCGCCAGGCTGAAGAAACTTCAAACAACTACTTTAGAGGATAGAAGACTTCTTGCCGACTTGACATTTATGTACAAACTTACAACAACTGAACTTCTCGACTTAAGGGCCAGGCATACTTCACGCGATTTCAGTCGCGACGCGATTTGGCAATTCGCCAGAAGTCTTCAGATCTAACACTAGCAAGCTGCACATGCATAATGTGTACAACTTTCGTGGATTGATAAAATTCCCTATCTTCTGTACATTTGAGATGTGCCTACAATGAGTTATGGACAGTTGGAATATTGCCAAATCGCGTCGCGACTGAAATCGCGTTAAGTATGCCCGGCCTTTCATACGATATCTTCGAGCATACGCATTGTACGAACTGTACGAGGGGTCACAGTTCTAAGAATCGCATTGAAAAACCGGGTGGATACCGGCCAAGATAAACGATAGCTGGAAATAAGCATACTATATTCGTGCGGTTGTCAATATACCGCGCCTAAAGTTTTATTTTTTGAAGTGATATGTTCTTCACTGGGTTGAAAATGGTTTCGAACAGTAAAAATAAAACAGTACCGAGCTCCCAGCGTTTTTTCCAAAATTTTAAATGTCATCATAGCGTAAATATAGAACCTAGCAAATATTTGACTTACGCAACGCATATGGCTGGCACAATCTATCGTTCAGTTGGCTGCCCCCGAAAAACCCAGTCTTGCATCATATAAGAAATGCTTCATCTGCTTGTGCACTCTGGAATTCTCTAGATCCTCAACTGTTCAGGTACTCATCACTAAATAGTTTCCACCCTCAGCTCATGGAATACTTGAGATCGCGTAATCTAGTGATATCTTGTTGGATGGAAAGGGTCACCGATCTACAATATTTGATGGCGGGAAAAGAAGAGGCCGGTTTGACCTCTCAGCACGGCATAAAAGGGGAAGAGAGAGGGGAGCCGCGAGCAGAAGAGGTTCGCAGGAGTCGAAAACTGGTCAGGAGAGGGCAGACCTCCCCACGTGAAAACTACCCGAGAATTGATCCAAGTGACCGTGTGAAGCCCTGCTGGAGGGACAAATCGGGATATTTCCCCCCTGATTTCGTGTCTTTTCTTGTCGTTTCGTTCGTTTTTGGCCTTGGGCCATTGTTACTGCTGGTTTTGCATACGGATAAACTTTCTTGTTTTCAATCTCTTCGTGTGTCTCGTTATCAAGGTGAAAACCATAAAGGCAGCGTCCAGGCAGATCTGGACCTATGGGGCTTTTACGTGGAAAGTACTTTTGGGGTCCTAACTAAGGCACTGCCCAAGCGCCAGCTCAGGTAGTGCTCTAATGGCTGAGATATTCCCCTCGAAACTGGCCCCCGCGACCGTGTTTCGCATGGATTCATGGCGCAAAGCGTGGATCCTGGCGCGAAACTGCCATGAATCCATGCGAATACGTTCGCGCGGGCCTGTTTCGAGGGGGATATCTCAGCCATTAGAGCACTGCTTGAGCTGCCGGTTGGGCAGTGGCTTAGTTAGGGCCCCAAAAATACTTTCCACGTAAAATCCCCATAGGTCCAGACTTGCCTGGACGCTGCCTTTGAAATACCACTAAATACTAGCCCGCAGCTAGAATTTTAGTATCGTCTATTCCCCAGAGTATAGCGGGCGGAGCTTTGCCGACGTTTGCCAACATATGCGCGTAGCATTTTTGATGCTAGAGGTTACAACCAACGCTCTAAAGTGGAGGTTCAACAAGTTTTTCAACTTGTTCAAATGTCTGCAGGATCACTCCCGCTATACGCATGGAAAACGCCTATACAAAGTGAGATGGTATTTATCATCAGACAGTATTTCCATTCTTTTTGTTATTTTGATTTCGGATTCATGTTTGTTGTGTTTTTTGTGTTGTTGGTTCTTTTTTTTCTTTTTGGAACTCAGTCTATTTCGTGGAAAAGGAGTGTCCAAGTGATTAATTGATATATGGCTGAAATAAAGAATAAGAATAAGAGGATCAAGTATAGCGGGTGCCTTAAGGCGCATGTCAGTGCGTTGATATACGTTTGGCTCAAAAAAGAGGAGGGGCAATGGTTCTATTCTCTCTGTTCACTGTATGCTAGATTTTTAAGCGTTCCGATCGTCCACACTGAAAAGGCCCAAACCAAATTGGCGGTTCGTTCCCCCAGCCAAGTGGATTTAGTGGGTCAAGTAGATCGAATGGACATCTGTTTTGCTATTGATCAGTTCACTTTGACCAACAGCGAGTGTTTGAAGTGGATCAAACGGAGATGATCAAGTATGGCGTGTGCCAAATAGTTACGAGCCCAGTTTTCTTTGTCTTTTCACCGTGGTCTCTATTATCATGCTCCAACTCACGCGCCGCACCGCACAGCCTCATGTCGCGTTGCGTCAACGCAAGTCATTATCTTTTAGCGGCAGCGGTGGTTTTTCATCACTGATTCACTCCATTCCTGTGGCATTGGCACGATGATCCTGGTCATTGGTTCACTAATTTCGCTAGTGCTTCCTTTGGTGATCGGGTGGAGCCCTCACCCCAAGCTACTTTTGATCTCGTTCGATGGTTTTCGTTATGATCTACTCAATGCAACTATGGTAAGCAATTGTGGTTTGAGTTTGCTTTTGGTAGTTAATTATTTTCCGTCTAATATATTTCTTAGCTTCTATGTTTGAGTGTTGTTCTGTTTCGCGCTGTTCTTTGCATTGTTTTCACCAGCATTTTCAACTTTGAAATAATATTATAACTAGGTTGAGAAATGCTTGTGATGCACCCGGTGGTAGCTCTAAACACAACCTAGATCTTGATCGCGTTGAATCTAGAAACAATGAGAATTGGGTAAGCACTTATTACCAAAGTCTTGTTGCTGGAGCTGAAAGCTTTGCAATCTACAGACAACGGGATCGCGGAGTAACAGGATTTGCGGAAAGCACGAAATCACCAGAACAGTATGGTTAAACCCTAATGTGATGTGTTACATGTGTATTCCGAGCTCATTCATGCCATTCTCTTTATATCATCCGCGCTTGCGAAGGTTATTTTTGTGAGCCTCTTTTAAGAAGCGTTTGATGCCACAAATTTCTTATGAAACTTAGTTCTTCCCCCTAGTTTTGAGTGACGGGAACTAGGCACCATTCGCCACCTGATAAAGTTTCTTGTAAGCTTGCGCGATTATAAGCGGTTTTTCAGAGATGACTTTAGAGAGTGCGCCATTACCGTTATTGAGGTTGTTGAATGAGAAGAGGACTGATTTCCAGTAGTTATAGCAGTTTTTAGGGGTAGGAGAAATGAATAAAAAGTATTCCTTCTCACATAATACTGTGCACTTCCTGAGCATAATAGGGTATCTGTTGCTAACATTCATCTGTTCCTCATGTGTGCGAAAAATTATTTTCATGCCATTATTTATTCGATTTGTGGAGATTCCCATTGTCATGGTTATCTTATATATAAAGCTGAATGTCTGTCTGTATGTATGTATGTCTGTCTGTATGTCTGTACGTATGTGCGGAATAGAAATTTTTATTTCTGAACCGATCGGGACCAAACTTGGCACACATATACTTCGGGGCAGGGAGCGTGTCATAGGCTACTTTTCGTTATCGATCGATGTCGATTTCACCAATTTTTTGCTGATCACCCCCGTGGGGGTGATCAGCATGTTCGATTACCCCCCCCCCTGTGCAAAATCCCAGCCCCGTAGCTCAAAATTTGCAAAAAATTGGTGAAATCGACATCGATCGATAACGAAAAGTGGACTATGACACGCTCCCTGCCCCGAAGTGTATGTGTGCAAAGTTTGGCCCCGGGCGGAGCCGGGTTTGCCATCTAGTGATTAATAATTTCCATCGCCGGAAGGCCCATAACATTATGGGACCCGTCATACTCGCCGAAAAATGCCTCAAAAAAGTCCAAAAGGGCCAAAAAAGTGGGCCCCCTTCCTCGCACAAGTTTTGGCGCTAGGGCATGTGTGTTGATTTCACAACCGTTTTTTTGTTTCATTTCCGCCATCTGCACATCAGAATATCGTCATAATTCTATCGAAAGTTCCAAGCCGGGTTAAACAAAGCTCATGTAACCTAGCGACAGTTTCTAGGAAGCTGTATGGTATTATAACTTCTCAATTTTGTATAGACCTCGACTATGTAGCTTCTCGTGCAGCCCAACTATTAAATACGTCTTTGTACTGTTCGTGGTTATCTGATTCGTCCTGTCCAGCTCTTTGTCTAGTTCAGACTTCTCTTTTATCTGAGAATTAATGCCAAGGGCTTATGAGCACGGGCGCGTATTCCCAATTATGCTGAATGTTGAAGCAAGTTTCTGCATTTCGAACTTTTGTTTGCTAGATATCAAGTGCTTCCTCAACGACAACGATATTATCATCAAAATGCAAAAGTACTTCTCTTGAAAGAGGGCGTTCCGCTCCTGCGCTTTTGGGCTTTTGGGCTTTTTTAGGTGCTTTTGGGTGTTTTTGGGCGAGGTATGGCGGGTCCTCATTAATTGAGCGGGCGGCGACGCGTCGCGTATTTTCACCGGTGTAAACTTGCGCCTCATACGTTTAGCGGTCAACCGCGTTCGCTCTTCTAGGTTTTGCGCCTTCGTCCGGCAGTAGAACTTATAAGTAGTTTCGTGTTGAAACGCGAATGAACCTACGGAGAAGAGCATGTATTTTCTATTGTCTACACTCAGAGATATAAAAATATGCACATGCGCTGCGATAAATTGGCTACCTTTTTCTTCTGCCTTGCAGTGTCCGAATATCTTCAAATGGGCTGCTCGGTCGTCTTGGTTTGTCAATGGAGTGCGATCTCAGTATATCACATATACAGCACCAAATCACATGAGTATAGTGACCGGTTAGAAGTGCAATATCATAGAGTAGATTTGTAAGTAATGCACACAATTTACAGGATTACGTGAACAGTATCATGGAATAGTTTCAAATTACTTTTGGGACACTGCCACAGGAAAATTGTGAGTTTTTTCTCAACGTGGTTCTAGTTGGTGTTACTTCATTTTTTGTATTCTTTGCCTTTTATCCAGTGTTTTCGCTTCCCTACCGTTTCGTTTGCTTAAATCCTTTTTTTTTAAATTTCGGATAAGATTACTTCGCATATCAACATTTTTTCTGCAGCATTAGAAAACGGTCTGGTTTCATCTCTGAGTTTTGTGAGCCTTCAGTGAGTGGTGCCAAACTATGCTGAGTGCTGAGTACCGCTAGGCATTCAAGGTTTGAGAAAGAGATTACCTTTCTGTTACAAATACTTACTAATTACAAGCTATGGTATCCGGGCTTGTACTTGATGCACTGATAGGCAAGTGCACCTTATCATCTGATTCAACCGGCTTGGTTTTGGGAAGGCGGGGCTTCGTGACCTAATTGAGGATAGGTAATAATCAGAGAGCACTCGGGCGAGAGAGACGCAGGTGCGTCGCGGGCGCGACCAGCCTCAATTACGTCACAGAGCTCCGCCTTCCCGGAGCCAAGCTAGTTGAATTAAAGGTTACTTAGGTGCGCTTGCCTATCATTGCGTGAACTGGGAATTGTTCGAGATCGACTTTTTGATTGCTGAGGCACAACAATTGTCGTAGCGCCGTACACGTTTATTGGCACCTTCTTTAAAGACAGTACCTAGCCGTATTCATCATTAAAACCCCGGTTTAGCCGACCCACTGGGTTCGTTGATGATTACAGCTCACTGATGAATCTGTCTACGGTACTGCAGAGCCTGCGTCTTCCGTTGTATAAATGTCCAGAAAGAGGCCACCGTTTGAGTTTGAAAATCTTACAAACATCCTGTTACATCGCTGTATTTTCACCAACATACCCAATAATTGCTCTTGTTTAGCTTCGATTATTTCAACAGTACACGACAGCAAGGGGTGGTGAATGCGTCGCTAGATCCTTCGTGGTATCTTGGAGAGCCTATCTGGCTGACCAACGAAAAGTAAGTTCTGATTTTCTGATTCTATGAGTTTGCAAAAGCTGTTCGATAACTCTAGAGCCAACTCAACTCGACATTCTGCCTCGTTTTATTGGCCAAATGGTGAAGCACCTTTTCCTAGTGCACCTCATAAGCCACTCATCCATAAGTAAGTGCGAATGTAAGCTGTCGAGTAGGCATCCCAAGCTTCATTTATAGGGCATGGGCTGGTGTTGGTAATGTTAGTGTGTGGATGAATGATGTCGATAAGATCATAGAGGTATTCAGCAACGACGCCACGCCTGTAAATTTTGTCTCCTGGTAAGATCATACGTCTTTCTGTTATCGCACTCTGAAGTGAAGAATTTGTTAAAGCTTTCTGAAATTACACTGCACATAGCGGTCCTGGTTACCGTAATCCTGAAGGGATTGGGTAAATGCACGCGAAATATGGATAATTGCCGAGTGCCGACGCATACGGCCGCGATAGTCACAAGAACGATCGCGAACATTATGGTTGCTGAATATGGCTGAAGAATATGGTAGAATATGGTTGCTATCGCGTGCGGCTAGCGCTCATATTTAGCACACACGGAGCATCGCTTCCAGCTCTGCTCTTCATGTGAACATTTATGGCCACACTCTAGGAGCAACATAAGTGTAGCAGCAGCTCTATGTCGCAAGAGTTTTTCGTTGAATACAGTCTCATTTTTTTTGCAGGTACATCGCAGAACCAGATAACACTTTGCATGGAAATGGCTTCTACAATGGTGAACTGCGCAAAGTTGTCAAAGAGCTAGACAAGGCTTTTGGTTACCTTATCGCAAAGCTACATGACTCCGGTTTGGAAGACTCAATCAATGTTATACTGACTGCAGACCATGGTCACGCAGAGGTACTGCTTTATACTTTGGTGCTTCCTTAAAACTCATCTCTTCAGATCCAAGGTGCGAAGAATGTTATGTGTGTGCGCGATTATATCGTGGATGAAGGCTACGATCTTGGCGACCACATGATATATCCTCATAACGACAGCATCGCCCAGCAAATCTATCAAAATCTTACAAAGGCTGTCAGGGATCATGGATACAAAGTTAATGTGCATCTCAAAGAAGTAAGTCACAGTTGTTCGGAACTAAGTGTATACGGCGCAATTCTAAGGAAATGCAACAATTTCATAATTTCTATTCCATTTCTTTTCTTTCCATATCCATTTCGTTTTCAAGAATATTCCAAAACAATGGTACTACTCAAACTCTTCCCGCATCGGTCGCATCGTGATAGAACCAGAAGTTGGTTGGGCTGCATCGCTTAATTGCAAGACAGAGAAGCTTCTGAAGTAAGGTTCTGCGTTTTTTTCCTTCCATTCTTTGCGGAATTTGTTGTTTCAGAACATATGCTCCAGGTAATGTCAAGTTCAATTCTTCCACTCATGGAATGGACCCTGACCGCAAAGAAATGCGGGCATTTCTAATCATTGGCGGACCATCAGTGCTTTCTGGACAGCGGGTAAGTGTATGTAGTAAGTAAAGTTGGCAAGGCAAGCATATTTTTGACAGTTCGAGGAAATACCAGAAAATATCGACCTCTATGGATTTATGTGCCACTTACTGGACATCGATCCTGCACCGAGCAACTCATCCTTGGAAATCCTATCAAAAGTCTTGCGCACCACAAAGCAGATCTCTTTATCTGTACCTGGAATGACATTTGTGAGTAGTCGCATTTGTAAATGGTTCGCATCCTGATACTGTCGGAATCGACATCTGTAGAAATATGTTGATTTACCTTAAAAATTTGGCTTTTTTTTCTATCGTAGAAGCATCTGATATATATTCACATGAGTTAGTTCACAGTGTCACGACTACAGTGAAATGCTCATAATCAGTCCATGCAAAACACCACTGATAACTTATTTTTATCTTGTTTTAGGAGTCCTCGGCCTTTTTTGTGCTCATAATTCCGTCTGCATGTGCTGTCATGATGTTCATGGTATACGCCTGTCGGCGTACAATTATGAGTGAGAATTCTGACTGGACGTGGAGTCAAAAGGGCTACCGTCCCTTGATAATGAATACTGTTGACGCTGAGCAAGTAGGTTTATTGATTTATCTTGAAAGTTTGCGAACTTCATGGGACATTTTGGATTGATTGCTGTAATTTTGCTTTTTTTGCGGACTTAACTGAAAGCATTTTAGAGTTGTCAGGTGCGTGTCGATAGGTTTGGTATAGGTTTGTAGTAACGTTGGTGATAGTATTTGCGAGTGTTTTGAAACATATCTGCATAAGGAACATAGCATCATTGCATATTCGGTGTTATAGTATCTGTACTTTGGGTCAATCATGTGCTTCCTCTTCCGTAGCAACTACGCATCCGCAGCGCATGAGCTCTGCGGCGATCTCCGATCGATGCTGCAAATTTGGGGGAAGGTTCGAATGGCGCGTATTGATGAGCTTTTCTAACAAAGAGAACCACGAAAAGAGTTTAAATCCATCTTTTTACTTCCGGATCTCAATCATGTGATCCACCTCTGTACTCTCTCATATACTAACAAAATTTTCGGACTTTAAAAATCTTGATTCTTGGAATATGAATCCATTCTGGCGATAGCGACCGCCGAAACGCGCGCCATTCCACATTCACCCGCAAATTTGAACGCTCAAGCGGTACGTCGCGAACAGCAGGGCTGTAGCGTTACGCTTGAACTGATTGATAAGAGAGCATGTTGTTGACACAAATTGCACGATCTGTATCAAAGAAACTCGCCGAAACCGCAGAATGTGTCGAGATTACAATGGCCCGGTCCATAACTTTAGATTCCAAACTAACCCAGCTCACGAACCTCGCGCTCTTGGATAACGAAACTTATCTAGAGGTCATGAATTGTCAGCAACGCTTTAGCACCTAATCAGCACATATGCAGAGTTAACCTGTGCAAAAGGCATCCACGTCGTCCTTGTCGGGAACACTTGTAGCTGAATTTCATCAAAATTTCGAATTCAAAGTTCGGTAGCGATATATGCCCAGTTGAAATAAAACTTGTATTTGAGGTTTTCAGGCTGTTTTCGAATATGCTAGTGGTTCCGCTCAGTATTTCATTCCCTTTTTGGAAAACAAAGTTTTTATGGCGTTACTCTAAATTAAAAAAAATGGGCTTGATAAAATTTCTCAATATTTTCAATTCTGCAGTGAAGTCGTGAAAAACATTGTTCTTTCAAAAAGGAAATAAATCTGGAAGTGTTGAGCACTAGCATATTCGGAAGCAGCGTGCTTGAAGCCCCCTAAATACCAATTTTTACTTCAATTGGACTTATATCGCTACCGAACATTGAATTAGAGATTTCATTGAGATTTAGTTTTGTGTGTTCCCGGATGAGGATGAGAATGCTGTGTGCACAGATTGGCTCTTCATACGATAATGATTAGGTGCTAATAAGCGTTGCTGTCAACTCATGACCTCTATAACTACGCTGCGGCAAGTGCTAATAATTTTTGAATCAAAAGCGGCAATTGCAACACAGCCACATTCTTTACGACGTTTTTTTGTTGGTCAAGCCCACCGGAGAGTATCGAAATCTCGCGCTTCAATTTGGATCTGGATAGATTCCCTGCAAAACACAGTTAATCGTGGCTGGTCATTAACACGTTTACGACCGTGTGCATCCGCGCGTATGCACGCCCTGACCACCTTTGAGGAGTTTCGTGCATCAATTTATCATGTGTGAACGAAAAGTTCTCAGGTAACTTCTATGCAGTGATAACACTGATGGCCTTGTAGTCATATAGAACACACGGCACTGCGGTAGCTGTTAAACAGTCTAAACCGCAGCCGTAGATCATCAGTCCATTTTGATGTTGTCAAAAATGGCTCGGTCGTCAACGTGTTAACACAATAAGTAATAGGTCCGACGACTCATTGCGTGTACTCAGTAATACATTCAATCAAAATATCAGCAGATTGAGCTATAGCAAAGCGGATGGAGATTCCCACCCTTCATCTTTTGCTGTCATATTTCATTAAATTTTATAAATTCTCTAAAGAGAAGACTTTGAAGGGATTCGCAACAAAAAAGCTTTTCTGAAATCGTGCGTGTCTTCAGTTGTAGTAGCGAGGCAACCATTTCATCTTGGCTTTATCCAGGTAACCACTCTGTTTTCATTCAGCCCAAAAATTTATTACCGCTTCAGACGTGCCGCTTAAAGCTGTAAGCCACGGTCTTCAACTCTTCGCTGTAGAATAATACTTCATGGAGCATAAGCGTGCTTCATAAACGGGAAACTTTTCATGATCTCTCTTATCCAAATTGTGGATCTTTCTCAGATTCCTGCAACAACAGTTATTTGGACCAATTTTTTTTTGTGAAATAGGATAATGATTTCTATACATAGCTCGAGATTCAAATTACATGAGAATGCTCGGAAGTCGAAGTGGCCGTTCCATGCAAGCTCATACTCATGGATCCTGCATAGAACACTAGCTTCAAAACTAACTTCCCTATCTGCTGAACGCCCTTTGTGAACAAAGTTATGAGCAGCGTTATTGCAAGAAAATTGCACGTCCGAGTTACAAAATTTAGCGCTTGAATGCTTTTTTCGCTCACCTTCAAGCATGGACTACATAAAGCAGCCCAGCTCTATGTTTTGGCCCAGTAGTGAGCCGAATACGGACTTGTCTCAAATTTGCATTCTGCGCACAGGCAAAACGGCTCATAACTTTGTCTACACAAATTTTAGCGGGTAAGTAAAGTAGGTTTGGAATCAGCGTTTAAGCTGCATCCATCAGTATACAGTTCTGGAGTTGGCTACTTTGACATCTGACCAATCCTTCCTTAGAGCATCTTAATTGAACTGCGGAATAACGAGCTTTAGAATTTTTGCTCTTTTTTCATTGCCTGAATTATTGTAATGAGATATCTTACAAGCAACAATATTGACTATCAAGGTGTTATTGACTTTTGAAGTCAATGAAGTTTTTCTTTGGAGCTCAGGTTATCGATCAGAAGTGTAGCAAAATATCGGTTTGAAGGAAAAGGAATTCGTCCCGATGCCATTTATATGTTGACGTCATCAACTCAAGATCTTATGCTGGGAAATGGTTTCGGGTGTTTCTCATATCCAGAACTAGGTTCCATACAGTTTAATTAGAAAGCATCAACTCATATTTTTAGTCTGCATTCATCATTACGTTTTCTACTCTAAAAATCTAGTGATATGAACGGTGAACACGGTGTCCAAAAAATGTGCACACTGCTTGATCGTTAGTAACTCTCCTGCATCAATTCTTTCGGTGACCTTCAGGTAGCGTTCTTTAGAGCTAGCTTCAACGTAAATTTACAGTATGAAGCGAATCACCGAACGCTTTTCGTTGCTGTAGGATTAGCGTGGGGACTTCCAGTATATGAAACTATTAATGAAATGTGGCGTCCCTATTTTTTTCTTTCAAATTGGGAAATTGGGTATCTAAGTCTTTGTGCATGCTGATTTCATTACGCCACATTGCACTAGCTTTTTTGGGGAGGGGGGGGGGGAGTTGATGGTGTAATCACATTTCTGACAAACATTAGAAAAGGATTTGTTACTGTTCAACTGTTGTAACATAGGGAAGAACCACCACAGTATAATGCAAATTTTGTACTTCATAGCGACTTTGACTTAGCCGGCTATAAGACTTTGGCTTGTTGGGTTTTATTTTTGAGGCAAAATTAGGCTCTCAGTGGTTTGAAATCCTCACAGAAGTTCCTACCATAATCCTATACTAATGAAGAGTGATTCGCTTCAATTCGGGTGCTTTCCACTGTAAATCCATGTTGAAAGACACCTAAATAGTTATAGCAAAAAAGTTATTAACGATCAAAGTCCACTCTTCTTTTGAGACAACTGTAATAGTTAACAGGCCAGTAGATCTGACGTTTAATCTAGTGTACTTGCTCTGCGGAGATTGGGTGACATAATTTATGAATAAGTGTCTAAGAATATACTGGCGGCAGTTTGCACTCCAAACGACGTATATTAGCATAGCTATCTGTTGAAATGCAAATTTTACCGTAAAATCTCTGCATTGAGGGCATTATATCTACCAAGAGATCTATGCGATTTCACGGTACATAGGCTTTTCTCCAATGTCTGGAACTTACTATGTGGCATAGAAATTTAGGTGAACAAAGAGAACGGAGTTACAAAAACTCTCGCAATGAGATTACTAGACTGTTCATAACTTGGTTCCAGTTTTTGCTGTCAATTTTGTAATCCTAAGAAAAATGCTACAAATGCGACAAAATGGAGCAATATGAGCGATTCAGAGCATAAAGGAGAGTAAAATCGTTTACTTCTCAGTTCTCTCACAGACAAACAGCTGTAGTTGCGAAAATCATAATTTTGTAGACGGATGTATAGAACATTCGAGAAATCATGACTATGGCACGACCGCGCACGACACGCACGCACCTTCCGGCAACCCCATTTTCTTGGTTTTAATCTATACTCGACTGGTTTTTCTGCTTAGGTATGATAATACTCGGACACTGGAAGTGAATGAGATGAGCGTTGAGGTGGTCTTTTTGTATGAGAGTGTTATGCTCCTGTGGGCGCAAAGGCAGTCAATTCCATCGTCACGATTGCATAAATAAACCTTACACATGTGTATTTAGACGAACCCATCGAGCGTTCCAACCCCAGGTAAAGTCACTAGTCATAGGGAGGATACCAGCGAGGACGAGTTTTGACATCAAGTGCCATTTGCTTAAATGTCTATCACTTTTTGTCATATTGTAAATTTCTTGATGTACCAACCTACTCATTTCATACGTGATTGGCAACTTTGCACTTGGATGTGTGCAGTATGACACTTGAATGCAATTGTTTAGGAATTACTAACATCAAACTCTAACGTGTATTTCATTGTTTCCGGTGCCAAATGCGTGTATCGTCCTGGGGGCTTAGCTATCCGTACACTGGCTATCATTAATGTTGTAAGTCTAGTCCTTATAGTCTTTTGCCCGGGAGTTGTTGTGTGATTCGATTGCTTATAACATATCTACATGGATATAAAAGGTTATGTCAGCTTCTGTTTTGTTTTCTGAAACGCCTTGAAGGGCTGCTTCTTTGTACGACAACGATTTGCTTGGTTACTGTTTGATGCGATATGGTATTTTCTTGTAGATGTCGTTATTACCGAAAACAACTAGTGAATTTACTGATCCGAAATTCTGGAGAAACTTCTTTGCAGCGAGGAAATCACCGTTCGAGTGGTAAGTTGGACGGGCATGCCTCATTTTACTGCAATAGAAGCGATATGCACGTCGATTGATACTGCCCTGGGAAAGATTGAAGAAAGAGAGAAAAACAGGAATAACAAAATTTTTAGACCATTCTATCACAAGTCCTCGAAATAGGGTTATGAGCGCATTTTACTAGGCATCAACTAACGAAGGAATCATCTTTAGAAGTATCTCCTTTAGATGGGATATATACCATATTTGAGGGCATAAAACGATGATTCCAAATCTGCCTTTTTTATATGCGGAAAGTTTATAGTCTAGGATTATGAGCTTTTATTAGAGCAAAAAATAACATGTGCAAATGAGACAAAAATTGTCGTCATATTTTTTTCTAGCGCTATGGAACAGTGATTTATCAGAACACTTCATTCAATATTCTCAGATGAAAAAATATATTACAGTTGATTGCTTTGTTTAAGGGCTAGGGAGAGATTTTAGCAACTCATTTTATTCTAAATGCAGTTTTTCTTTTTTGCTTCAATAATCGCTCATAACTTCTCGTCCACAAAAGTTCCGCAGATAGTAAAGGTGAATTTTGAATCAATCAGTCAGTTCTAAGGCTTTCATTATGGAAAGCGTGTGACTGAAAATTTTGTAATTATGAAGAAAGCGAGGCACATGTCTCGAAAAGTGTTAAGTGATATGTAGGTCTAGCATCTTCTCCACCGCGAATACTATGAGGGTCATTTCCCTCACAGTTTATGATATTTGGGAACAAATCACAGTATTGATAGAATCATATAATTTTACAAGGAACATCGAAGAAAACAGTATGGGCTGACTCCGAAACAAAAACTATGGGTTGTGCAGATAAGGAACAAAGTGAACTTAATAGAAGGTAGCGGTTGTATCATTAAAAAAAATCATGCACTTGTGGGAAATGGCAGAACATCTCGGCCACGAATCCATCTATGGGGAAGTTGGGGAGTGAAGCTAAAATGCATCCTGCATAGGAAAGCTGGATGGCTGTGTAAAAAGGATCTTTGAAAAAACGAGGCCAGAGGCAAAGTGGTCAGGTGCTTTAAAGGAGTTTTGGAAAACAGTGGATAATTTTGAACAAAGTGGGAACGTGCGAAGCATTTTGTCTAGGACTTTCGGAACCGGGATCTTGCATCGAAAAATTTTTGCGATAAATAAAAGCTTAGCTTCCACAGCTCTATCAATGGAAACTTTGGGAGAAAAGTAGAAAATTCGCTATTGCTTTAACAGATTTTAAGAACTAGGAAGGAGCTTTTTTAACTTTGGAATCCTTAAAAGAGCGAAAAGAAATCAAGATAGCACGATTTTCCCTAGTAAACGGATTTTGAATATGACTTCGTGGGAGGGAGGCCCTTCAATAAGCCAAAGTGTGGAATCTGAGAGCAAGGGAGTATACTACGCTTGCACTTTGTGAAAATAAAGACGCACGGTCGCCCGATTCATGTGATATCACCTTAGCATGGCCATATCTCGCTTCATTAAATGAACCACGATCAGCCTCTCTCTGATCGGGCCTTATAACTTGCCCCCACCAATTACTAGCCTCAGCTACAGCACAGAACACATCAACAAGATATACATTTATGGGCAAGTACGGAACGACAATACATCAATATCAACAAGAACACATCAACAAGAACACAATCGAGATCAGCTAGAAGTGAGGATCCTGAATGAAGCACGAGAGACGGGTCTGGCGACCCAAAGACGACACGTCGTCAGACGTCCATTCACCATACTGCCGTACGTTCCGCCTCTGGTCTTTATGCCCTGCTCGTCGAGTTATCGCACCACCGATCTGTAAGCAAAGAGCAAGGAGAGAGCTTGGGAGAATAAACACAAAGCCTACGTAATAGCTAGAAATTTGAAAAGATCTGAGAGATCTCATTACTCACCCTGCGCTCTGTTACACTTCAGAGTGGACGAAGTCTTTATCTAAGGACACCATTCGATCTACCTGCACGCGGCGCATCTTCTGATACATAGGAGTGCTTGCTTGAATATAGTAAGAAGCCAGATTCAACATCGTTTCACATTTTTGCTTCCGGTAGATAGCCCAGTAAGTGCAGTGAATAAGCACACTGAGTAGTCTACCTTGTTAGCAAAAATCTGGAATGATTCGTGGAATCTGACCTCCCACTGTGTCCAAGCGGGCACTCCTATGTGTCAGAAGATGCGCCGGGCTAAGCTGAGTCGAATAATGCTTTTGTATTAAGAATTCTTCCACTCTAAAGCGAGATATGGCCACGCTACGGTGATGTCACATGAATCGGGCGACTATGCGTCTTTTTTCACAAATCACGCGCGGTACTGTACTTTGAAAAATCTATCAACTGTAGAAGACTGTGAGAAAGACGCTTCACGCTAGGAAGATTGTGCTTAGAAGTTCACGGAAGAGCGGCACACTTCACCCGGGTAAATCCCGCAAAAAAGTATTTGGAGGGAAAATGAGGGAGCAAAGGTGCGACGAGTAACCGAATCCTCTCCATATTTTTTGCTCGATAGTGAAGATCGTTTTGATGCGGAAAAAGACATGTATCATACACTTCCATTAGTAGCAATATCAGAATGGGTTATTGGCTCAATTAATGTTGTTGGAAGTGTGCTCAAAATACTCCAATTCTTTCCAGTAATCATGTAGTGCTGTTTACAAGTTTGCAAACATTCGTTTCTATACGCACTGTCTTTCTATCACAATTTGCCGTCAGACAGCAATTGGCGAGATCCCGCCCACTTTTATCGTGGAATCCAATTCACTTTTTATTCAAAAACTCAGGTATGGGGACTATGATGTTTTGGGTGTCGTTGTGGAGAAATACCTCAAAACGACGGACGCTATACTTCAAATCGGCTGTGGCAACTCACAGTTAGCAGCGCAAGTTCGTACGATTCTAATAAATTTTACCCTCTCTAATTTTGGTTCCTGCAGTTGTATGATAACGGCTACCGCACAGTGCATAGCATAGACACAGACGCTGCTGTCATCGACGAGCAACGTTTGAGGAATAAGGAGCGTCCCGAACTTGTATTTGGTGTTGACGATGCCACTTCGGTAGGTTTGGTTACTTTAAGTGGTGTCCAAAAAAATTAGGGGATCTGGGATCTTATATGGGAAGATTGGGAGCACATAGCTAAGCCACTGTCCAAACAGCAGCTAATATAAATTGTTCACAGTTGAGAAACTCATCTCTGAACTCTTGCCCACTACCGTAGTTTTCTTGTTCCTAACGATCGGCTGAGTACGGTGCGGGTGAGAATTCGAAGTTGGACCTTTAAGTCACGAGATGTAAATTACGGCTAGGGCAAAGTTTGGTTATGGTCTCACAATACTCATGAGATGTCCGGATACCCAGAATTCTAGAACGTTGCCCTCAAATGCCCCCTAAAGTTTTTATGACCTTACTTCCAGCTATCTTTCGGAGATGAATCCTTTTCCGCTGTTGTAGACAAAGGTACCCTAGATGCACTTTTACCCCCGGAAGCAACAGAACTGCAAATGAAAGCTGTTGAAAATATGTTCACAGAAGTAGATCGGGTTCTTCGAGTAGGTAGGTTCCTCCCAAGTCTACAATCAAGGTCCGACTTTTTCCTAATTTAGGAGGCCGCTATCAAGTTGTTACCCTTGCTCAGCAGCATATCGTACAGTTTTGGAGTGAATACTTTCGTCGTAGGTTAGGTTTGCTTTTGTCAGGATTTCCATACAGATCTGATTTTTTAGCGGCCGATTCCTTCTTCGGGTACACGAGGTAGAAAATCGCGCTTCTGGATTTCCTATGCCCGTCTTTGTTTTCATAGCTACGAAACTCCGAAATCCTATGAATGTTCCAATGGTGATGATTTATTGCTCATTACGTAGAACTACAAATAGATTAAGATATTTTTCAGCCTATAGAATTTTGCCGAGCAACAGGCAGTAAAGTTGAACGCTACTTTGATCAAAAAGATTTGTTGTCTACTATTGCAGCCGAGCAGGAATTGAGCCAATTTGTGCATCATTGCTCAAGGTAAGTGTTGAAGATACGGTAAAGTGCAATACGGCTTCTTTCTGCAATGAAAGATAGGTGTTTGCGTGGTTTTGCGGAATTACCGTTTCAATGTTAAAACAATTTTTTTCAGAGTAGGTGTTTTCCGGACAGAAAAGAGCCAAAAATGCAAAATACTTAGCGTGGTGAATCCGAATCGTTCCATATAATGCTCTACCATTGAAGACAGTTACAAAAAATTTTTATGCTCACACCTTCAGGTCAAAATGTTCTATGAACTGACATGGTTCCCAAGATTGTAAAGTATTCTCGTTCTATACCATCAAAGACAAGTTGTCTGCTGAACTTTATGACTCTAAAGCTCTTTTTAACATTGCGAATCTTATAATAGTCGTAATGATTTGTGCGATGTCATGGCGGTGAGGGGGAGGGAGAGGCGCGACATAATTATTTTTCAGTGAGGGTGCGTTCAGGGCCCGGCAGGAGGTGGCATTTCAGAATTTTGAAAACGATATCCCCTTTGAAGCCAAAATTTCTTACGACTTCCCCTTTGACCCTATTTTTGACCCCTGTAAGTCCCTGACAAACAGATATACACAGATAATAAGATGGGCGGCCTCAGCGCTTATTATAGTAGTACTACCTGGCTTTCCTGGTCCAGCCCGGGTCATCAAGGTTTCAGCTCAATGGGTTCATCCGCAAGGGAACCTATAAAAAAGCATAGGGTCAAGATTTGCACAAACTTTGGCGTTTATATATCTAAGATACTACTCATTTATTAGTCAGCTGCGAAACTTTACAATTTACAATAACCGATTGCGATTGGAGCGCGCTTTCCGAGGCCGATCATAACGCTGTGAACCCTATTTGGGGCTGTATTGAAGCGGTGCCTTGGTGGTTTTGGAAGCGGATTTGAACATATAGTAATACTATCGACCTAGTCCACATTTATGTAAAGAAATCAGGGAAATTATGTGAAGGGAAGCAGGGAGCCACCCCAGGTGGCTCCCAGGTGGCGCGGGAGCCACCTAATTTCGAAAAACACTTACCATTTTTTAAATTCACATAAGTTTCTCATAATTCTTCATACTTTTTTTGTGCTCATGGTCCTCCAGCTACACAGCAAATTTGGTGCCATATCGTTACTTGTGCATTGAAAACGAGCCTATTTGTTATTTTCCTCTTACAAGAATTGCGATTTGAATTCCCGCCTGCGGGCAGGCTAGCGATCGGAGCACAGAATCTTCACATTGCTGGAATCTAAGTTCATAGGACAGTAGCATCAACAAGGAATGATGAATAAAGAATGGTATGTGCATTGTTTATCGGTCCCGGACCCCAAAATACGACTTCCCCTTTGCTTTTTCGGGCCAAAAACGATATCCAGCTTGTGAAAGCGCCACCCCCGCCGGGCCCTGGGTGCGTTGCATTAGCTACGCACTGCGGAAAATTTTTTGAGGATCTTTTCAAGATTTTTGCGGGCCCATAACCCCCGGAGCCTAGAAAAGGGGGCGTAGCGGCAGCCATAATCAGAAAAAATCTTTACAAGGCTAATTTAGATGTCTGAAAAATCTAAAAATTATTTTATTTGTTCAAAAGAATAAATAAGTCACTTGCACATTAACACCCAGTAGGTAGGCGAGAACAGTGCCACTTGATTGGATCGATATCCACAAAAAGCAGTTGGGTTCGCGACCCCACAATCTTCGGGAATACCGAACTCGTAAATTAAGCCTACCCACTGGGTATAGCAGAACCCAGTGGGTTCGTTGGTGAATATGTACTCCTAAGTTACTCTACTAGTGTCACGGGAGATTTAGTCATCAAGTGTGATCCTTTCGGTCGGTAAATAACTAACCCTAGTGAACTTAGAGAGAACGTCATGATTCTGCTATCTGGACAGAGGACCATATAGACTTCTAGAGTTTTATCCCTGTACTTTCAAAAATTCCTGTTATTTTTTTATAAGAAGAAAAAGTGGATGCAAGAGTCAGAACCACTCTTATGGGGAATTATATCTTTTCATCTTTTTAAGCTATTTTTGATTAATCTCCAAGTATCGAAGAATTTGTTCAAGCAACACTGATGTTTTTTTTTCAACAGAAAATTGGAAGCAGAAGCTTCCATTGCCATAGAAAGCTCTGAAGGAAACGGGCCTCGCTACCGTATCTTCATTGTTGACAAATCTAACGCTAGGCAAATCCAGAGCTACGCTGTTTTTATCGTTCCTTTGGGTCGGTAAGTCAGGCATGCACATTTTAAGAAGTTTTTTCGAAAGTGATGTTTATTTTTAGCGAAGGCGAATGGATATTTTTCACTGAAAAAGGACGTCGAACGCTACTTGAACAAGCGCAAAAAGTCTGTAGTTTACGATACCTCCCCACTTGAAAACAAGGGAATTTAGGATCGCCTCGCTGTAGTAATTCTGTCTCGAGATCTCAATTATTCATCGCTGAAAGATGTGCAAGATGAACTGGGTCCTTTTGTCTCCAGACTCGATCCAAGAGAAAAAGGCGGAATGGTGCGATTTTCGTTTACTTGTATGAGGTGGTGGGAGAGGGGCTAATGAACTTTCTTTGACTGCTTTACAGATAGATTTTCTGTCTTGTGGTAGTGTAGATGTAAGAAATACCCGAGCCACGGGTGAGTCAAAGATGAATGGGAAGTGGACAGTGGAGGATGTTGTCATTGATGAACAAGAATATAGACGACTAATCTTTCTTTCTAGTTCGAACATTGTCCAATCAGAAGCTCCACTCAAAAGTAGGCGGAGAGAAATGATGCCATTGGTGGAACTGCAAAAGTTTGTGTTTTTTTCAGTCGTAAAGGGAAAGAAAACAGTTAATCTTGATAGACTAAGCTGTGATCATCATACTCTTATGCTTGCTGGTCTATCCTTATTACCTCAGAATCCCTTTGCCAATCCATCAAATGCCCCACTCAAGGTTAGCGCTGCCTCTAATCAAATCATACTCAAATCTAAATGGTTTTTAGTTGGCCGTATTGGGCTTGGGAGGAGGTCTATTGGCATCATTTTTAATGCATCATTTGACAAAGGTCTGTTCCACATTCTGCATTGCAAACAGCCCCGTGCGCGAAGGTTAAATTGCCTATTTCAGGCTGTCATTGATGGCATTGAATTGGATCCAGATGTTGTAGAAATCGCTACAAAATGGTTTGCCCTGCCGCGTAACAATTCACGTATGAAAGTGAAAGTGATCGATGCTATTGATTATTTGGAAGAGGCAGCGAAGAGAGGTAAATTTTACCTTAGGTTCTCAAAGCGTTTCCAGCCAAGTCGTATTTTTGTACCTCTCAAGTGGGTATTGTTTGGGAGGCCTTGATTGAGCCACTTTTCAAGCGGCAACTCGTACATATGACTCATTCGATATGGAGAGACAGTACTATCTTCTTGCCCAGTACCGTACTTGAGAAAGCTAATATAAGAGTATACGGTAGTGGGCGAGATATGGATTCGAATCTCTCGATTACTAGAAAATTGTATGAGCTGCCGTTTTGGCAACGATTAGTTACGCTCCTAATCTCTTTTAACCTAAGAAATTCACATTGCTTAGGCACTGCTTTTAATTAAATCAAATACTGTTTAAGATGATCAAGGGAAACTGGACATGCTTTTTGTGGATGTCGCTGGCCCTGTTCATGACTCTGGTCTCAGCTGTCCTCCTGCTGTATTCTTGACTGATCCAGTGTTGTGCAACATGAAAAAATCTCTAGCTCCTAATGGTATGTCCACTATCGCTTAAAGACAGTGGCTCGGAAAAATTGCATTCACGCGCTTCTTGCACCTACATGGCCTTTTGGATCCGCTGAATCCGAGACTCTGCTTGATAGTCAAAAAAGTGCTTTTTCGGCGTTTTCGGGCCTCAAAGACTGCTGAGAGTGATGGCCAAGGGATCGCGAACTGAGTTGCCGTGGCTCCCTTGGCGGTCAGCCAATTGCGCTAAAGTGGGTGTCACAGTGTCGTGCAGCCAGCCTTTTTTGGCCGAAATTCCTCAGCCAGCCCCCTCAGCAACCGTTAAGGCCGGAAAATGCCGAAAAACCACTTTTTTGACTTTTCGTTCATATCTCGGACTCAGTGGATCCAGAAGACCATGTTGGTGCAAGAAGCTCGCACTCGCAATATTCCAAGCCACTGCCTTCAATCCTGCAATCGAAGAATTTTTTTGAGGCATCATCGCATTGAACCTTGTAACGAGGGATGAAGAGGTATCTCTGAAGGCTAAGCGCTCAATCTCTGCGCATTTTCCAACAATGTACCACATTCATTCGGAAGAAGACGTTAATGAGGTGAGCCAAAATCAGCCACTTCAATCGCTGCCTTTTAAATAAAACAACACGATGATTTTACCATTATCCAAATTTTATCTCAAAATTTGATATAGAGATTAATGTGATGAAGAGGGTGTCCGGGACAAAATTTCATTTATGGAAACTACACTTCACTCGATGGATTTTTTTTTGCTTTGATCTTGTTACGAGTGTCAAGGAGCTCCGAGGTTAACAATGAACGTTTGAACTTTCTTTAATATTGTTTGGTTGAGTGATATGGAGTGGTGTGCAGTTTTTTGGCAACACATCGCGGATTCATCTTATGAGACGCAACTTTACGCGCTAAAGGTGGGCGGGATTTCCCAAGAAAAAATATTGCGCTTTGCATCTTCAAAACGATTTTTATCTAATCAAACTCAATCTTTTGCCGTCAAGGCTGTAATTTCTTACAATTAGATGTAAGTAGCCAGATGTTAGTAAAGATTGATATTGCAAACTTGAAAACATCAAGACTAAAATTTTATGCGGGTACCGCTTACAAGCAAAGTTCAAACTACATTCTGCTTATCTATTAAGTCGTATATAACTTTTGTGGTACTTTTTTCATTTTCCTCTATAAAACTCATAACTATAGCAAGGTCTAATATTTGGCCCCATGAGCAATGGACAAAGGACTGTCTATCGGCGTAAAGGCAACTTGAGACGGCACTTGAATCTCCATTTTTTTCTTTTTATTGTAAAATTCTCATTCTCATTTTCTAGGCTCTCAGATTTTTTATGGCTTTCTGGGAACATTAGTAGTAATATGAAGGCATTTGGAAGTCTAGGCTTGTTATTAGCGCAAGTTGAAAATTTGCCAGGAATAACTCGAATAATTTTGAAATATTCGAAAATTTCTTTCATATGATACGTATATATTGAAAAGTTACAGCCATCCACTCAATTTGGAGTTGAGAAAATTTTTTTGAGAAAGTCATAAACGTTTTTTCCTCTGAGTGTAACATTAATTATGTTACGACCTATTAATTTTTTTAAAAAGGAACCATTCTTTTCATGTTTCTCTGTTTTAGATGTTGGTATTTTATCACAGGGTTAGTGTTTGTTTTGCTAACGTTTTTCAGTGCATACCTTGAAACGGAGCTGGTGACATGTACAAATATTGATATTCACGTTTGCCAAAGCATCACTGCAGGAAAAAACTTCGTAAGAAGTTAAGATTCAAACCCATCAAATAGAAAATCGGTGTGTCAAGTGAAGAGCAGTATGAACCTTTTTGCATACTCAATCCAAATTTGATACATCAAACAAGAAGAATCAACGGGGCAGTTTTTTCCGCAACGAACATTAAGGTCAAGCCATTCCCACTAGTTGAATGTATTCCGAAATACCATAAATAACCAATTTACCATGTCCATAGCTTTCGTAGACTTAAAAATGAATCTTGCTTACGTTAGGAAATGCTCCTCACAAAATATGCGTATTTTTATGAAGAGTGCTTTTCGGAGATGAACATTTGCAGCATGACTCGCTGTTAGTACTGTACCATCTATCAAAGGCAGCAATTGTAACTAAAACGAATTTTTGTACTATTTGTACATTTTGCTCAACTGCTTTCTGTCGGTGAGTGACACTACATCAAATATAAGCAGCATTTCCGATCACATACGAGGCAGTGTGCTTCTAGTATGAAAGGCAACTTCCATTTTAGCGTTCAAAATTCAAACAATGGTGAATATTCACACCACAATTCCTATTATTGATCGCATAATAAGGTCTAATGGGTTTAGCATACTGCCATTATAGTTAGAACCGAATATTCGTATTCGCATAATTTATTCGAAATATCCGAATATTTGAATAGTCGAATATTCGAGAAAGTCTACTTATTTGATTAAATAGTCGTACTCATGAAAAAAGTATTCGAATAATTCGTTTACTTGACGACGCGGAAAAATAATCTATTAGGTCGTTCCGAAAGTAATGTCGCTTTTTTCAAATGAACGCCACAATTCGAAACCAAGATTTTCAAGAGCTCTTGTGTTTATTCGATGCAGAATCTTGTCCTCTTTCTGAAGGTTGTAATCTCATTGCATAATATTCAATGAGCTGTTAAAAAATTACCAAAACCTGCGACTCATGCTTTTTGTCATGGTCAAGTTCGGCTATTTTTCTATATTTTTGTACTAATTCCCCGAAGATGTACAAGTAGCGGGTAAATAGAGCATACCCCATATGATACAGAACAATTTTTTTCTTTTCCTTAGTTTGCTTCTTAGAGTTTGTAGAACCAATTTTTCAATGCTGTCAAATTCCATAATTGGTCAACTCAGACCTCACAGAACAATAAGCGGCAAGCAGCTCGGGTGTCATTCAACGCAGCTTTTTCTCCTCTTTTTACCAGTTGTTTTTGGTTTCCGATTCATAAAGTTTTCCGGAAAAAATCATCATAATACAGGTTTTCCAGGGTGCCCCACGCTATACCCAAAGTTTCCGAAAGTTGCTAATCTGAAGCGGTAAATGCTCATATGCTTTGTAAAATTAGTGTTAAACCATAATCCACCTTTGTAAGTTTCAGAATCCGAAAGTTTATTGGCGTTTGATGCATATGTGTTTGAGACAAGCCTGCAAAAATTCGGTGACTTCATTGAAAAATCTCTGCAAAAATTATGACGTGATACGGAGAGCAGAAAAAATGGCACCGTTTCCTATAGGGTTTGCTCTATCCATCCATTACTTGGACTCCTTCCGGGAATTATTACAAAAAATTAGAAAAATTGTGAAACTTGACCTTCCCAAAAAGCATGGATTGGAGATAGTAATTTTTCAAAAGCTCATCAAGTATTCTGCAGTTGAGTCATAGCCTTTGGAAAGAGGATGAAATGCTGCGTCGAATGCATCTAAGATCTCTTGAAAATCTTGCTTCCACGAAATGTAGCGTTCAATTGAAAAAAGCGACATTACTTTCGGAATGACCTGATATAATATTCATTCGTGGAATTTAAAAAAAACAGTTGTTGGAATACGCGAACATTCGAGTAATTTTGAAAACCATTTTTCGAATATCTATGGATAATCGAAGATCGCATGCGAATATTCGAATACATTCGAATACTCGATGATATCCAGTATCAAGTTCGGTTAATCGACTATTCGAAAGTTCGAATTTTGAAAGTTACCTAATTCGAATATTCGGAATTCGAATAATATAAAAATTGGAAGCTGAATGTCTTCGTTCGTTCAGAAATTTTTCAAAAAGATGAATTTGAAAAATGAATTTTTTAAATTCATTTTTCAAATTTTTCGAAATTTATTCGTCTGAAAGATTTTCAAAAACCAGTTATCCGATATTATTCGTTCATTCGATGAAGATTTCCTCTTGTTAAAACTAATACCTTCCATTATTTTTGACACACTCTGCTGTCAGTAGCTTTCTTCACCGTAAATTTCTTCAAATGTATACTTTTAGGTTCTTTTGCTCAGCCCATCGCCAACGCACTCATTCGATCCTCTGAAATTCTCGCAAACAATGCGAACAGATATTCCATGGGTGAAAGATTTGGTTCCAGTAGTGAAGCGGATCAAACCCATCAAGTTACCTTGAGCATCCTCCCTATTATTTTGTTACTTGTTGCTTTTGATTGCTATATTTCTCCTGCCTTGCATGATTGAATGTTTGCAAATGCTTTGTTTGTTTACTTTCAAAAAATGTCTTCTGCCAAGCATGCTAGACATCGCGAGATATTCTGTCATTGCTTGCTTGTCGATTCTCAGGGCATGTGCTTAGGCATGTGTGCAAATAGACTGACTCTGTAGAGAACTGGTTTCGCCCAACATTCTGTCTCCTTAGTTCGTACCTAACCGAGCGCTCAGTCGGCTCCGCAATCTTTTACGGGCTTTGAACTCTTTTTCTGAATTTTTAAATACCTGTGCTTGCTTGCTCCAAATTCTTGAAGGTATTTGTGGGTTAAGCTTGATTCTCAGAGCAAATCAGCAATATTTTCATAGAAGTTTTTGTCAAATCATGAAATCGATTTTGGTATTGAAGTCTACTTAGGCGTCGAAGGTTTCGAATTCTAGACAACTTCAAAAATGAATCATCTGTGTATTTTCCGATGTTCAGAAACTAATGTTTTGGATCAGAGTTGTTCTAGACGACCTAAAACATAGCAAACCACTTTTTGAGGTAAGGAGCAAAAGGAAGATTGGTTTCCAAATTTATTCAGTTCTTTGCACATGAGAAAACGATAGAAAATGAATAAAATAAAGACCAACAAATCTTGAGCTTTAGGGAGATAAATTCAATGAAATTCATATCAGGCAGATCAAGACCAGAATTTGAGGTCCATTCAATCACATTTGATTGGGAATTCTCTTCCATTTACCTCCTCCTCCTCCCTCCCCCTTCCGGCAAGAGTCGCGAAATTTCGAAGCGATCTAAATGAGTTATAAAGTTGTGTAATTAACGTAATATAACTTGTGACTGTTTGAAACTTTTCACAAAGATGTAAAATAGCTTAGAAACCCTAGAGTCTTTTCCTGAAATGCTGTTTTTCCTAAAACTTTCTCATTCATAAACCCGCTTAAATTTGGAGGAGCAATTCAAAGATTTTCTCAATGGATGCGCTAACGCCACATTTTTTCACTCAACCATTTTTTTCATAAGCTCTTACCCTAGAAAAAAAGATTTCATATTGCCACTGACAATGTAGCTTGTTTACTCTTCTATTTATACCGCTCAACGTGTTTGCTTCATACTTGTTAATAGAAAGAACAAAGATATGATTTGTAAATCACAATGGAATACTTCCTGGCTGCCTTTTCTTGTTCTAATTTTGTTCTTTTCAACCTCAAAATTCCGAATTTATCGCAGTTTTCCACATAAAAAGGCTATGAGCTTCAAAACCATCATAGAAGATGTTTTTGATAGTATTGAAAGTGTTCTTTGCTTTTGGCTATCAACGTGCAATAGAAAAAGGAAAATGGCCAATAAAAGTGGCAAGTCACAGTCTTTGAGCGCTTTTAATGCTGAGATTTTAGAGAGTTGATGAAGCATTTACGGGGTGAATAACTCTTTTGATTTCAGAAAATTATAGCCACAGAGAGTCTTACTTGCTCGACTTGAGAATAAAAACAGTACAGTCTATTGTTTGAGTTAAGAGTGCAGAGCGCACAGACGCGAATCGATGCTCCGATGTGTTGTTTGCACTTTCCTCAAATATTTTCCCCTCTTTTATTGGCACTTAAATTTTTTTGTGGTGTGATATATGGCTTTTATGGTATAGAGGTTTCTTTTATTGTCTGCGAATCCCATACAATAAATTTTTTACTGAAGCTAAAATTATTCTTTGATCTTTGCCAAATTTTAGGAATTTGAGAAGAATCTTATGGCTAGTTTTATGTCCTGAAATTCGCTGCAATTCCTTTTCGACGCACTTTTGCCTAGTAAATATCAAATAGATAAATAAATAAATAAATAAATTTTTATTAGGTGCTTTAATATTTGGAATGTACGACACTCTGTGGCACTATAACATAGAATCAATGATACTGTATACTGTAACATAAAATCGATGATACTGTAAAAAAAAACCCTACAGGTCTAGGAAAATGAATTTTCTATTACATTGCTGCCTAGTCAGAACTAAATTACATTTTGCTCCTTTTTGAGGGTATTCTGTGCCTTGAAGATTGTCATAACATGTGCCTAATATACTCCATCAAAGCATCAACATAAATACCAAAAATACCAGAAACTTCAGTTTCACCAGAATTTTCGTCTCAAATTATTACAACGAAAGTGTGAACAGGAACACTTACTTCTGGAACTATTCTGGGACTTTGTATGCCGTAATAGTGATTCTGACTCCATACAAAATGGATTTCAACATAATTTCAAGTTCTCTCCTTCATCAAATGTATTGTTATCGCATATTCGCTCTCAAAAGCGTTGGCGTTTCTTTGTTTTTGAATTATAGATGAAAGGTAGGTTGCCTGAGCTTGTGAGTATGAAAAAGAGGGATGAGAGGATGGGGGAGACGGTCAAGAGGAGCGATTTTTGTGGCTGTCACCAACCTGAAACTCCAGTTCCGCGCTATAGGGCTGTTCAAAAAGTGCCGAACAAAGCCCATTGGCTTACTAGCTGTTTGGAGTAACCATTTGATAAGTTTGACGACTTTTGCTAGAAAACTAACCGAAATATTTGCAAAATTGCTGATAACTGCATTTTCATGGGTTTTTAACTTTCAAAAATTTTGTTTGGAATCGATTTTTGGTTGATAAAGTCGAACAATCCCTGCAATTCTCCAATATATTTCTTTGATGTCACCCATCTGGCAATAAGAATCGCGCCTCTTGACATACACCCAGAGGATGGAAGGGATAGGCTATGTCATCTCCTTTAACTTTTTCCGCATTCCTGCCGTCAGTCGTCTTTACCTTCCACTTTGAAGGCGAGAATCCTCGGGCATACAATAGCAATAGCTCAAACAACATCATACGATTCTCACAGAGTGTAAATAGAAGCTTTTACAATTGAATGCTTTTTGGTCGCAAGTCAAAATCCAATTTCTACAGTCTATATCTTGGTAAGATCTAGGAATATCAACTACTGTTTCACTTTTCACCGCATAAGGTGTTGGACTCACAAGGGGAAGATGTTTAGTCGAAGTGACCTTTCAAAATATGCTGTACACCATTTTAAAGGGCATGAACCACCGATTCCAAATCTGCCTACTTGCTGAGCGTTTTCGGGCGAGGGGTTATGAGCGTTTATTGTGGCCAAAAATTCGATGATAAATTTTCTAAGCGTGTAAATGGAGCTGTGATAATTGTCAGGACACTCTATGCAATAAATGTTTCGAGTTTAAACAAACCTTCACTCATGCTCCGCGGCTAAGGAGAGCAGATTCGGAATTAGATTTTAAGTCCTCCAAGATCGTAGACATATCATTCTGAAACATCACTTCGAGAACATTCCTTTCTTGTCGAAGGGAAGATGGTAAATGGAAAACTAGTACATGAAGCTGCTCCATTAGCAATCTCCCTCAGGAACGTCAAAACACTTACTGTTAGGTAGTCAACGGAATCATCAGCGCTAATTTTATTTCCTCAATCCATCGAAAAAGATTAGCAGGTTTTCCAGCATTTTCAGCACAAAGATTTTTGTGGCAGTTCGTACATCAGCCATCGCGATGGGCATTGGTTCCCTCCATAATCAGTCCGTTTGCTTCCAAACACTACCTTTTTGGCACCAATTTTCCAGCTTTTTTCGTTTTTCCCAGAAAAATTTGTACGAAATGTTATTCGAAGAGAAAATTTGGGTGTTTAAAGTTTTGGAATGTGCTTACAATGAGATTCTTATAGTTCTTATGCTGTGATGTTTTTACACTTAACAAGCTATTGACAAGTGGATGCAAAGCTTCCACTAGTCAATAGCTCTTAACGTAACACAAAGAATGATTAAGCAGTTCCATTCTTGAGATTTTTGCTTATGTCAAAGCTCGTCTGGGATCTTCAAGCGTGAGGTTGATGTTTGGCCGAAATGTACGGGTTCCATAGTCAAGTGTCAGGTAAGTAAGAGCGGGAGGGCGTCTAGATAGGCTTATCATAAGATCAGGTTTCCCAACAGAGCAAACGATAGATAAATGACAGGCTTTGCGACAAGCTAGAGTGTCCTTATTTGAAAAGAAATTCGGTGTAATTGCACTAATTTTCCAAATTCGGGAATATCTAAACGCTTTAATCTATAAAAATCTTTTTCTTGAATTTTTGCAAGTTCTGAGACACTTTTTCATTTCTTTCTGCTCTAATTTTTGAGGAGAATCTCCCATTACCAATTTGCTCGAAAACGATTGTATCATGCCATCTTTTGCGGGATTAGCTTCTTTTGAGCAGAACCCTTTACCTGTTTTGGTAAGGTTTCCATTTCCGTTTTTGACACAATTTCTTCTTGTGAATTAAACGACGAGCATCAAAGATCAGAAGTGCCATCTTCCATTGAAAGGAAGACTGACAAATGGTGCCGCTGATGACACAAAACATTAGACGAGGCGTTTCTAATCGCGTTCTGGTCTTGACCTCAATCGGAGCCGCCTGTACGAGCAGTTCTCGTCTTGTTTGATTTCTCTATTTGCACCCAATTTCCATGGAAATTTAAGTCCAGAGTGCGCATGCCATCTCTTCAACTCACTTTTTTCTTCTAGCATTGCCAACGGAATTGTCGTTTGTTTTCTTTCGATATCTTGTCTGGAGAAAAGAGTGGAACTGATCGTACCTGTTCCCTACGTTTTTCCTGCTCAATCGCAATTTCTTGTGTAATTTACTCTATCATTCGTTGCTATTTTTGTTTCTTTGATATCTACCCAGAAGACATCAGACCATCCTAACCGGAACCATTTATTTGTCGTTAAGATTCTTGAACAAATCGATCATACGTGCTATAGGCTCAGCCCCATCACCCTCTCGACTTCAGTAAGACCTATTAGAATTTCTGAGAACTGGTTTCTTGTCTATTTACACAGTGTTTCACGAAGCAACTAAGCAGAATTACTTCCATCGTGCAAGGAGACACGTGATGTTTGAGCATCGCAACATAGTATCTAT